ATTTTTAATTCTTCTGAAAACTCACTTTAAAAGTGGCATTGGCATGAGCCACAGCCTGTGGGTGCTTCACTCAAAAAGCACGGAGATAAGGGAGGGCTTGCATGTAATACCTTCCTCACAGCCCTGTATTTTTTTTAAACACACAGCTAATCAGAAAACTTCTCGCAGCTGTTCCACTCCCTTTTTGACCTGTTAAACCACCATGTTGCTTATATGAACTTCCTTCAAATACTTTAATAGCACAGTATATTTGGAGGCAATGAATTGGTACAATATTCTTCGGGAAAGACCCAAAATGTGCCCCTTGCTATTGTTTGAAGTACATTTACTAACTGACTGGAGCTAGAGGTGACAACTAACCCACAGACCTCAGGAATATGGTTAGCGAGCCAGAACAGTAGGCAGGCTCACCTTCTCCTTGTATTCTGTTGAGAGCTATGCCCTGCTGTTTGCATAAGGGGACTGGCTTTTATTATTCTATTCTGTTCCCACTACTGTGCACCAGGGCAGCACAAAGCAAGATTTAGTGCTTGGATATAGTATTTGCTTGCTGGCAATTGTTATAGCTAAGGCTTCACTGAGCCTTCCATCTTAACCTGCTGTTCTCCCATGCTCATAATATTCTTTAAAAAAAAATTTCTTTTCATCTAAAATTTCTCATGCTTGTTATCAGCTGAAATATGGGGTGGTGGTTTTTTTTAGTGGGTTTTTTTTTTTTTTTCTTTTTTCTTTTTGGAGAGACTGAATAAAATTTATTCATTCATATTTGAAGTGTGCAAGGGGGGGGTGTAGGGAGAAAGGTCTCCTTTTTGCACATTCGTAATTCACAAAAAAAGCTGCGCATTACAAGATGAAACTTACCAGGTGGCTAGCTTCGACTGCGGGATAGTCCTCATGCTAATTACAAAGAGAGAATGAAAGAAAAATGAAAGAGAAAAATTTAAAAAATGACACATATTGTGTTTAACTCATTTGTTTTGTAGGTGTGTTGTACAAAAGTTCCACTGCTACCCACTTAGAGCAAGTTTAAAGTAACAATTTTGTTTAAGTTGCTATGAGCTACTATAATCACATAATACCAATGTTTTGTACTGCAATTCCACTAAGAATCTCCCCATAGAAGCTGCATAAGCTTTTACTTATGCAAATGTAAGGCTCACAGTGAAATCAGTGCAGAATCTTATGAATCATTAACTTCAACCAGAAAGCCAGGCTGGGGAGGTGGGGAATTGGCATGTGCCTCCATACTCTGTGTCTCTCTGCATGCTAAGCCGATACATAAAGTAACCTAGAGTTTTGAATTTCATACAGGAATCCTCATGGTTTTTTTTAACCTGATTTTTGAGTGAAGGGAGAAAAACAGTGCTTTTCCACTGATGCTGCTCATTATTACAAAAATAAGTGCTTGAAAACTGAGACTTATCTCTAGGAATTTGAAACCCACCTTTTATTTCTTCGGGTCCCAATCCAGTATCAGAAGCTCTAGAACCTTTCCCCACACGATGGATGATACAGTGCTTGCTAAAAAGTATACTGAAGACAGTGCCTAGCAGACTGAGACACAAAATAACCACTGACTTTACATCTTGTCATAGCTGGCATATACTGACCACACCTCAGCTCCAGGGCATCAAAGTTCAGATTTTAAAGTCAGATATTCTTTGAGCCAAAGAGGGAAAGGTCTAGTTGGTAGCCAAAAGCACTAGTAAAAACATCTGTCAAGCTACCAAGGAAACTGGACAACTATTTTTTCCTGAGTTCTGGGTGTTGCACAGCATGTTTTCTTAATGCTCCAAAAACTATAACAGCTCTACTACAACTTACTTAAAGCTCATCAAATAAAAAAAAAAAAGGATACAGGGCACTGGTGTTTTATCCCTTGTCTTTCTCCAGCCGTACACTGCTATGACTTAAAGAGGAGCACATACTACAGCAGATATTTTTTGCCCTGTTTTGGTAGATAACTCAGAAGAAACTCTCAGTCCTGTATTTGACCCAGTACTTGCAAGTTAACACGTTCACAGTCATTTTTGACAGGCTTTGCTGTTTACCTTGTGGGCTATCTCACCAACTTGCAGGAATTAAAAGTATCTTCCTGTGAAAGCTCTTTCACCTCCATGATATTTGGCTTAACTCCCAAGGATTGCAGCGCCCTAGCTGTGCTGAATCCAGCTGGATGTTCTCCATTTGATCCTTTCTTATTTACACCCTTGCATGCACTATAGTTCAGTGACTGCTATTTGAACACTCCTTTCTCTCTAGCTGAATAGTCCCCAACACACCACCTCCCTGATGTGTAATCACCCAGGAGACATAATCATTCACTCAGAATAAAAATAATTCTCCTACCGTTTGCTCCTTGCCTCCTTTCTGCTCTTTTCTCTGATTTATTACACTATATTCTTTATAGAAACATTTTGACATCCATCCCCTCTGTTCAAGTCTCATACCCACCCTTTAAGGGACTGCTTTGAACAGAATAAGGCCAGGATGAGTGGCTATCTCACATGCTCACTCACCCTTTCATTCCCATGTCATTTCCCCCACCTCCTCATTATATCCCTGAGCCTTTCCCCTCCTTCTAGTTCAGTTGTGCCTGTTGCCCCTCCTACAGCAACCAGCAGCCCTACCCTCCCTGCCCCCTCTAGGAAATGACAGAGAACTTCTCCCGCAGCCTGTGCCCCCCAGGCCTGTATCTGTGACCCAGGGTCCTGGAACATCTCCTGTCCCCCCAGCACGTAGCCCATATGGGCAACTGCAGGGCAGTACTGACCCACGGCATAGGCAGAGAGCAGGGACTGTTAATGCAGTGTCATTGAATTCCTTCAGTTCCCACCTTCGCTGTTTAGTTAGACTGCAAGAAGTATTTAGTGAGCCAGAGCACTGAAATGATTGCTCTTTAAACTTAGTCAAAATTACTGTGAAATTCCTTAATTAAATAGTTCAAGCTGAGAGGCAAAACGCTTTCCAATTCAGGCATCACAGGGCCACTCAGTGCCATACCTTCCTCCTGGTCTTTACTGCCACCTTCATTTTCTCCTGTTACTCAGTATGCTGCCCGTTGGTTTGCTTGTTACCAGGAGTGCCCCCCCCAGACCGCCGACCCACCCTGCACTGACAAGCAGAAAGCTCTTTATGCTGAGTATTGATCTAGTGGATGCCCCAGCCTGGAGTGGAAGAGCATCTTTAATTTCTGACTCCCTTGGGGACATTTGATTCAAGAAGGATTTTCATAGTGTGCCTAGACTTGGTAAGTGGCTGCTATTCAGTAACTGCTGGTTGCAGCTCTGAATCTGAATGCACGCTGAGGCCTCGCGCTGCCTGTGGCAATAAGCTGTGCCCTGGGTGATGTGTTCCATGTGTTTCGGCAGAGGGCTGAGCCACAAGCACAGGATGTGCCCATATGGACTGTTGTGCTCTTGCAGCTCTAGGCACTGCTAGACCTTTTGCTATAGCCCCCAGAAAGCTTCCCACTTGCTGTCTAACTGGGACTTCTTTTAGATCTAAAGAACCTTAACCAGTTTCACTGTTTCTCAGGATGTGACAGGTCAGTTGGGAAACATTTGGAAATACCAGCTCAAGAACACTAGATGAGCATCTGATGGAGGCCACAGGCACAGCCCTGGCTGCGCTGTGCTGTCTGTGCTCAGCAGGCTGCGTCCTGCGTGCAGCACTCTGCTCAGAGGGACACACAGCCCCACCTCATTCCTGCCATTATCATCCTGGGGAAACTTTCCCACAACCCAGGAGATCGCTCTAGACTCACAGCAGAGCTAGAATGCAAGTGCCTCACTGTTCCCGGAGGCCATTTGTCAGCCTGCACAATGACACCAGTGAGCAAGTCTTCTGACTGTTAAACTTGGTTGTAAGCAGTGGATGCACACAGATCAGTGGATGCTAGCATGCCCATGACAGGTATCCAATACTTGTGTAGACTTGAGAGGACACCACAAAGTCAGCATACATTCAGTTTTTAAATTCACAAATGACTTTTATAATTACAGCATAATCCCATGCCTGAAACCATCGCATTCTGTGGTACCTGAAGCATTGCAAACAAATTTCTACTCTGGGCCTGAGGCCTCCTCCATCACATGCTGATAGGACGAGCAGAAGGACCCAAGGAGTCAGGATCTGCTGCTGCAGGACATTGCCTTCAGCCACAGGTGAGGACTAATAAACAAATGAAATAGCCCAGTAAAAGCAGGTACCATTTAAAGGTACAATACCATGCTACCATTCTGGATGTTCAATGTGCATTTGTTAGGGCTGAATAAGGAGTAGTTAGATAGCCTTTCTGTTGTAAACCTTGTACAGAATACACTTCATAATTTGACTTCTTTCTCTTTTTTTTTCTAGAAATTGAACATGCAATTACTAAAAACTGTGCTTACAACAAAGTTTTAAGAAAGCAGAATATTTGAAAAAGAGGTATATGTTTTCTTTATTAATATGGTTTGATTTATCAATTTGTAAACTCACTGCTTCAGCATGAACTTGCAAGGCAGCTAAATTACTTTAGACTTAAGTTGACAGTGCATGAGGATGAATTGCTGATACTCTTTCTGGCTGCTGACAGCAATTTCCTACAGGATAGTCTCCTGGCTGAGAAGCTAATAAACAAGACTCACAGCAGCAGAGACAGAAATGAAGATGAACAAATGAGAATTAAATCAGCTACAATAATAATAATCTTAATGCTGATTTTGTCTCCTTCTGGTCTAAAACAAATATGTTTGTTTTTCCTAGACTGGTGTTTATTTTATTACCTGCATTTTTCAAATAGCTTGTCTATGGGAAAACAGAGTGTCTACTCATTAAGAGTCACAGTTATTCCGCCTTGAGAAAAACAAAATGAGGCCTTTAAAATCATCATAAAACCCTTCAATTTATTTAGAGTAAAAGAGCAAAAGTGGAACTAAAGTGCTCTGCTTTGCGTACCATGTAAGAATAGCTTTGCTACGTTTTCCCACACTCCTTACACTCCTTAAGCACTCCTGACAGTGCTAATTTTTTAAAAACCTTATTGCTACTTTCATTATTCGCCAGAGCCCATTACTATATTGAGCTGCCTGCAACTGCTGTGCTGTGTACCTCAGAGAGCAACTAATGCACAGGCAGTGACAAAAGAAGGATTACAGCAGTGACGTTCAAGCGCACAGTGTGGACAACAGGCAGTCATTGCCAGCATGGAGAGGCCACAACTGACTGCAGCCACAACTCACCACTGAACGTGTACTTCTCTGCATGAGAGGTGGGGACATAAGACAGGTTAAAAAAGGGGCATTTCCCAACTCCTGCTTCTCAGGATGTTCCTTCCTGCTATGGTGATGTACATCATCACGTATCTTGTGTAAACAGTCGCTGAACATCAAACCAGGAAGCGAATTTTAGAAATCATTGTGTTATTGAATAAGGAATCAAATCTAATTAAACTAAGATATTAATATACCCCTAACAGTAAACAAATGTTGTCAGGTGACATCAGTGGTACTTGCACACTTTTTCCATTTTCAGAGTGCTTTAAAAACATTCTCATTTGTGCTCTATATCTCTCCGAAATTGAAAAACAAGGCTTTCTTCACTTAGGAAAGGAAACTGAATTCTAAGGACTTAACGAAAGAATGCAGAAAGTCAGTATGCTCAAAATGTATGCTATCAATAACATCATTACATTGCTCTTATGGTTTTGCAGTTAGGTTGCAGGAATTTAATGGGCAGAGAGCTGAAAATTAGGACCCAGCTGGATGACACCTCCAGCTTCAGTCTCATTCTGCACCCTATATAAAGAATAGGGAAATGTTCTTGGAGGTTCAGGTAGTTACTATGAACTGTTCTGACTGAATGTCAGAGTGAGTAAGTGAGATGTTTCCAAAGAAACAAGTTAATTATGATCCACATATTAATAGCATGCCTAGGTCTGCCTTCTCATGACATTACCATCACAAAGCCTTTAAATAACCTCAGACTCGCAACAAAAATTAGTGTTTGTGTTGCCATTTTAAGATTTTTTTACTTTAGTAAGTCTAAAGATTGCAAAGAAAGTATTAGAGAAGGAGGGGTTTGGAACTAGATGATCTCTAAGGTCCCTTCCAACTAAGCCATTCTATGATTCATTATGGCAGTGTGGAGCTTAGATGAACTTCTAGAGAATTCCACAATAACTGCATTATTTTGTCAGAGAAACTATGGGAACTCAAATAAATCCCAGCTAGGGAATTTCCCTTTATCTTAGAAACCTACACATTTTAGACATATTGTTCCCTATTGCTGCATTTTGTGCAAGCATCTATATCAGCGAAGTAAAGGCTGGTAGCAATCCCACTGCTCACTTAGGACTGAACGACTGCACAAGAGACACAGGAAATCACCTCTTGATTTCTGAAGAGTTAAATTGCAGCTGCCAAACCCTGACAAGATCCACTTGGAGTAGGATTTTGTGTCTAATGCATTTCTGCTGCTGGTTATTCTTTCTTAAACTTTCTTTTCCTCCAGGAAAGGCATACCTGCCTTCCAGCCGCTAATGAAAAAAGGGACAATTCTGAAATGTTTACTCACTTTTACATTGTGATTTTTACTAATGTCATGTAGGAGAGACAGAATTCTTCAGTTAACACAATTCAAAAGAGAAGGGGAGGAAAGGTGGAGAAAGTCTACGTAAAATGGATTTATATTGCTTTTACAACTGAATTGTTTTCAGCATAATGTCACGTTCTTAGTGTGGGGAATTTTGCATGTGTCATGAGTCTACAGATGTTCTTGCACACTATGTGCAGCTGCACTATTTGTCATGGGCAAATTTAATAGCAAGATGCTTGCTACGTGTTCTCTCTATTCTTAGTCCACAAAAACCACAGAGGGAAAAAACACTGCCTGCTAGTTTGCTTGTTTCCCCTCTTTACACAGTCTTTTCAAATATTTCAGAAACAAATTTGGAAACACCATCTTTCACACTAAATTCCATGACACCTGCAGTTGCAGCTCCACTGCCTTTGCTAGAGTGATTTTTAGACTGATTTCTTTGTAATGATTCTAATGGTAATGCAATCATTTTAAGCTCCTGAATTGGAACTGGGGAGATGTGAGGAAGAGTTTTTCATTATAGTGTGGGGTTCTTCAAGAGTCAAATCCTGCAAAAGGGAGAATACTTTCTGCCAAATATGACTATCCCCTGTTCTCACTGACTGCAGGGGAAACTCAGACACCCTCTGTGTCCGCACTCTGCAGAGCCAAATGCTGCCAGACATGTGCAAACTCAGATGAGCTCTGCTGCTCTTCTTATCTTAAATCGTCTTTGGAAATGTTCTTCTTTCTAAACTTGTCTGGTCTAAATCCAGTGATGAGCATATCCTTGGATCCAGCTTCTTGCAAAACTATTCAGGCAGCAAAGCAACCTTTTCTAAAATTAAAAGAAAACAAAGTCTAAATTCTTCTCTTGCCTAGCCTATAATGTGCTGGTTAACAGCAAGAGAAGAAAATGTAGAAAAGGCAGTGCTAGCAGAAATCTGGAGTTTGCAGAAGGGAAACTTAAAGCTGAAACAGGAGCACGTCCAACTGAACTGGCACAGCATAACGCTTGAGAAGAGGGTACAGCTGCAGAACAAGTTAAAAGCATTCCACTGTCAAGAAGCATGTGAACGAAAGTAGAAGCCATAAATGAAAATTACGAATTTAATTATGGTATCTCCTACAGTACAAGGCAGACACTGCCATACGGCGCTAGAGCAGAGCAGGCCAGGCGCTAGGCAGCGTGCCAGGAGAGGCCGAGGGAGCTGCGATTCCTCAGCCCTGAAAAGGCTGAGGGGATGGCAGGGATTTATTGCTGCCTAAAAATACATCATGGGAAGCTATAGAGAAATTAGAGCCAAATTTTTCTCAGAGGTGCACAAGGGCACGTGTTTAAAGAACATAAAAGCAAAGACGGTTCAACAAGGTACAAACATTTTTTGTGATGGAAAAATCAGAGTTCTTAAATAAACTTGTGTACTACTGTATTGGAAATCTTTTGAAACATCCTGAACTTAGCACATGCTGCAAACACTACAGATATGTAAGCTATGTAATCGTGTACCAAGTTGCTGGAACAGTTCCTTTTGTACCAAGAAGGTGATCACATAATTTTGGAGATATATAAAATGAGTGTTTCTTGTAATAAAACTGTGCATCTGTGAACACAGACTATCACAGAAAATGGAATATTCCAGTGAGACTTTCAGAAGAATGCTGGAAAAAAATGTTGAAATATGCAATATATATGTGAAGATATTAGTTTCCAGTCTTCACATGACTGCTTAGCTTGAAAGTTAACTATATATGATCATGGCACTTCTCCTTCTGCTTCTAAGCAGTCTATAATCATATATGTGGGATCTAGCTGCATTTGTGTGCATTCCCAATTCCAGAAATTGTGGACTACCTCACAAACATTCCTCTGTGCGTGTGTGTAAAGTTTCTATGTTAGATTGAAGTGTATGATTTTAATTATCCTATACCCTCACAGATTACACTATGGTCTCTCCCTGTCCCTGAAGGCATTCAAGGTCAAGCTGTACGTAGCTCTGGGCAGCATGGTCTGGTGGTTGGCGACCTTGCACACAGCAGGGAGGTTGAAACTAGGATGATCATTATGGTCCTTTTCAACCCAGACCATTCTATGATTCTATGATTCTCTATAGCAGAAATGCTAAGTCAGGGCTTGAACTAGTGATTGAGCACCTGGTGGGTAAGCAGGGCCAAACGTGTTTTATGTTGATGTGATGGTACAGGGCCTTGGCAATTCTGTCTTGGCCTAAGTAGATTTTAAATTCTTTTGGCTGCATGTAGCTGTCTGGTACATGCAACTCGATTTGTTTCAATTTAACTTTAGTTTATAGTAAAAACAAGTGGCTTTTCCTTGTGAATTAAATTGCCTATGGCTCTACAATAAGTCATGGAAATGCAAACACAGAGGAAGCAGATCACAGTCTTTCAATCACAGTGAGCTTCTAGTGTTAAGAAATCATATCAAATAAAATTCAAGAATACACCAGACTGAGGAAAAAAAGCCATCCCCCCACCCCTGAATATCATGCTTGTCCTGGCGATGACTCACCATACTCCCCCATTCCTTTTGAGAAATACTAAGATGTCAATCTTAAGACCCAAAGGCACACTGGAGGAGTAAGCACAACGCAAGAGAACAGGGAAATTTTGTCTAACAATTTCAATTCTATTTTATAACATCTTCCTGTATGGATTTGGTAATTTTTACTATCAGACTGTTGAAAACCTTAGACTAACAATAAATTAATAGGTCCATATATGCAGTATGTTCCCCTTTGCCAACAGGAAGACTTTGGGTATAGTATCTGAAATAGACTGGAGGTGTTAAGATGAAGAGTTGGAAGGTAAAACAAGCACAGTAAGACACCAAGAGTGAAGGACCCAACCACTGCCTAACGCCCCGTGCACCACTGTTTGAAAGATAACAGCATGCCTTCACAGACCAGTACAGCAAGGATCTGCACAAACTCCATTTGCTGCTCTGTGTTTATGGCTCCTTCTGTGCCTTGAAATGTTTACACAGCTGATTGCCTCTGCTTGGCCTCTGGAAACCTCCTCAGGCAATGGATGTTGGTCCGAAATGCTTCCTGCAAACAGAGCTTGCTCTCAGTCATTCCAGGCTGTGTTCTCATTGAGGACACAAAAGCAGGATTTCTCAGAAGCTGCTGTTGCTGGGGGCACCTCTGCAGGAACAGCTGATTTTCTCACTCACCATCCACACCTCAAATACTGGCAACTGCTTCTGCTTTCAAAGAAGCTCTTCATACCCCAAGTGCTGCTGCTGCATGTACATATTTCTTCTAGAGCAAGCTGAATGGGAAAAGTATTCTATAATGATCTCTGATTTAGCTTAAAGTGCCTTCTTTTCCTTCATTGCATTTTGTCTATGAGAAGTGTGCTGAGTCTTGTGCAGCTGTGTTCTTGCTCTTATTTGGCACAGACCTCTTCTGAGTTTTGCATCCATACCAAGAGTTTCCATCTTCTTTTTGAAAGGAGTGACAAATGGGTACAGAGCAGGGGAGCTCAAAGCCTGCAGGGATGTGAGTCAGGACAAGGAGAAAAATATTAAGCCAATGAAAAAATCTGCCTTGGCTTCCAGTACATGTGCTGTGAGCTGGAAAGTGAAAACCCAAATGGAGAATAGAAAAGGAGGACAAAAATTCAGATTAAACTGCTGCCCTTTTTTGTTTTCAGAGCACAAAATATCAGCTATACCAAGCCATAAATCAGCTGACCGGTGAATGCCTGCCCACTCTCCTTGTGGTTGCCTGCAAGTCACCTACAAGAGTGCACTGGAGGACATGCATGAGGGCTGCCTCAGGAAGGTGCTGAGCCCTTCTGCTCCTGCTCAGACCGGGATGCTCAGCATACTCAGCGCCACACCTGATTGCATCTTGGTCTTATTTAGCGTATCTGGCAGCCGTTTCCAACTTGGGAAAAACACATTAATTTTTAATTAATTTTTTATGTAGAAATTAACTGGGGTTAAACCCATTTCCATTGTCAGACGTGCCATTCTTTAGAATAGATCTATGTTAAATCATGGATGTCTATGCGGAGTTCCCTTGGATTATTTGATCAAATTATCTACTTCAAAGTATGCTTCAAAAATGTCATCCCAGCGTAGGAGGAAAAGAAAGAAAATAAGGCAAAGAACTGAAGGGAAATTTGGAGAAATGAAATGTTGTCTCATGTATTTTGACAGTGTAGACATCAGTAGGTTTGCCAGACAGATCAGCTCCAGACTTCAGATACATCTTGAGAAATGCATGACTTGCACAAAAAAATCTAGTCTGAAACACAAGCTACTTGCTAGCCACTTTCTTGACTCTGTCCTCTTAAGCAATTTTTCTGAGTTTGTTTACACTGTAACAGTCTATACTTCTCCCATGCCTGAGGTCCTCCCCTAGCCCTTGGAGAGCAAGCTGGGATCTGACAAAATGGACAAGTTCTGGTGATGAAAACACTTTAAGGAACATGGTGGGTAGGCAGCACCAGGAAAGGAGAAAAAGATAAGAAGATGAAGAAATGAGAAACATAAAATGATGGAGTATCGAAATCAAGAGAAAATACCACTGAAATGGTGAAAGAGCTGAGACTCTGAACATAGTGGTTAATCGTTACCTTGCTTTGCCAACATTGCCTTGTAGCTGCTTCACCGATGTCTGCTACTCCACCCATTACCTTCATTAGTGATAAACCAGGCATAACTGAGCATAACTGAGGGATCCACAGCTTCTTCAGCACCTGCAGGGAGTTAGGAAGAAAAGAAGTTTTCATTGTTTCTTTGGATCTCCAACTGACTTTGCAGGACTAGAAGGTGTTGGAGGAGGAGGTTGATGTTGCGCTTTAAGTTAGAGAATACAGTAAATTTGACTATGAAGCATAAGATGCATACTTTAATACTGGCGGTCTAGCCTAACACAGCACACTCGATTTTGCATTATTTTGATGATATATTACAACACTGAGTAATAGAGACTGGTTTACTGAATTCAGTTTGGAATATCTAAACATCCTTCCTCTCGTTAGATTTTCTCTTTCTGACCCCAGCACCTAAATATCCTTCCATGTTCCACACCTTGACCACACGCCTCTCTACCAGGGAGCAGAATAATTCCAGGCAATTAAGGCACTTGCTCATATCCATTTTATCGGCAGATCTTGGACGTGCAAACAAAACATGCTGGATGGGCAAGACTTGCTCATGCTGTTAGTGCTTTAGATCACTTGATAATCTTTTTCCTGTGTTAGTTATTACTGAATGGGAATAAGATGCATGCATGTTAGGACTTGGAACAGATGGCACTTCTGTTGTGCAAGGAAGGAACAGGGGCAAAGGGGCAGCAAAGTTGAACCTCCCCCCTTCCCCGTCTCACCGGGATTCATTGTGTTGCCCTCCTGTTACAGTTGGCTGTGACTCTTTCTTGTTATAAAGAGATGTCAGAAGTTAGGGAGAGACAGATGATAACCTTAAATCCTTTGCTGCATTTTACCAGGATTCCTGGAAAAATAAAATAAAAGCTGGCTAAGGGAGTTGGAAAACGTCAGTTAAGCATTACACAAAGAAAGTGATATATTTGTTGACCTTTCCTTATCCTCCACCCTTCTCCTCTAAGATGGATTTAGTAGTAGTGGGTGCTCTTCTGCTATGAGTGCTTTCTCAAAAATAATTTAGATGCTATTGTCTGTCTGCCACTTGGAAAACATCGCTGTTTCAACGAGACCCTGCTGCAGATGAAAAAGGAGGGTTTATTGAAATGCCTCCAAAAATGCAACAAAATTTCATTCTTTTTCTTGTCCTCTGAAATGTGATGTGTTCTTGCCTTTATAGTCTTCTATTTTTATTTTTTTTAATTGTATTTTTGTATTCAGGGTCTTTTCATTCCTATCCTCCATTTTACAAATACTGTGTGTGGTATTAAGAGCTGAAGGCAGAGATGAGAGGAGAAGTGTTTTGAACTGACTAATTTGCAGGCAAGAAATCAAGCTCTTGTAAGGTGGTCCCAGGGGTATCTTCGCCATGAACACTATTTGAAATGACATGTAATCTCGTGCATTTCAAAGGCAAAACATTTCCTATTCTAAAGTATCTTCATGAGCCAGGGTTGGTTTACCTGTTCCCAGAGAATAATAAATCACCAGAGACAAGGAAACTCCTTCCCTCCCCTCTCAACATTCCTGTTCTTTTTCAAAGGGGCAATTGCAGTCAATAGTTTATTTCTCTCCTATCTTTTGCTGTTCTGATGGCTTATAACTCTGTGGTCGCTACCAGTATATAGCTGAATGCACTTCTGGATTAAATATCAACTAACAGTACAACCCTCTACAACACAGCAAATAATGGTGTAGAGCTCCCTTTTTGTTTTCTACAACAATGGAAAATTTACATCTGGCTGTTACAGTCTTCTAAATTTTTAAGTCTTTCACCACATATCTTTGACCTGACAATTTCTTAACAGTAACTATTCCTCATCTAGAGAAATTTGAGTTCAGTTAACCTTGGAATATTGTGTTAATATCCTTTTTGAACACAATTTACTGGTTCTTGTCTTGTTGGTATAGTAAAGGCTTATACACAAAAATCTACATTTAATTCGTGAAAGTAGATATTTCAAAAGAGCCTCACATTCAGAATTTCTCCCTATGTTGGTGGAGGTTCAATTAATTGGTCTTTGCACCTTGACCATCTGGGAATTAAACAGGGACATCAGCTACAAGTAAAATCCAAAGCTTTGGCAGAAATAAACACAGGTAAGTAAAAGAATTTTTTTCCATTAATTTCATGGCTATTCTGTCCAGTGCCCTTAGTTAGAAAAATAAAAAGAACTGAATGCTTAATAAACTCTCTAAATTGATGTTGACCACTATTTCATCAGCTAGCTGATCTTCTCACTCTGCATGGAGAGAAATTAGTGTGCAGCATGCCTTCAACCACTGAGCCATCACTATAATGAAGAAGATCCTACACAGTGTTTTTAAAAAATCAGGACCTGTGCTTATACTGATTTTCATAATCCATATACTCGCGCTGAAACGTGATGGCTCTATGTATTCTTCAACTGCAGATAACAAGGAATAGCTGTTGTGACTCAGAGATACTGAAGGCTCCTAGAAAGAAGAAGCAGGAGTACTGTGGTTACAATATGTCCTGAAAAGAGAAATTTCTGGAAGGATGAAGAGCAGAAAGTCCATTCCCAAACCTGATAATGACATGAGACAGCCGAGGGGCTGGCATGGCTGGGGCTGCCAGCTCACTTAGCAGCCTCAGCCCTCAGAAGGACAGGTTTTGCATCGCGAGCGACCCTAATGTGTGTTGTACTTGGAGCTCTACCAAGTGTCAGTCAATCATGATAAAATATCATACCCCAGAGGTAGGTCTTACACCTTACCTGTTGCTTTCCCTGAGGCTCTGTCAACTGTATTTCTTAATTTACGAGGTTTTTGTCCAAATGAAGCTTGGAGCATATTGAGTGACGAGGCATAAGGCAGCATCGGCAAAAACTTTCCGAGAGGGTAGTGCTGCTCCCTGGCAATGCATCTCCTGATCTGGTCCCCATGTCGACTATGAATCATGATATCAGACCCTATTACTAACAGTCGTAAGGAAACACAGCATTGCCCATTAAAGAAATTTCTACCAAATTACTTAGTAGCGCTTGGTACTTGTGGTCTTTATTCTAACTACCACAAGCAGAGAAATGAGAGAGGCCTTTCCATTACCACTGAGTGCTGTCACATGTTAATGCACAGACGGTGTTACAGCTGGAACACACACTATCTGATGAAAGTTGCAGTGCTTGACTCCCACAGCTGCTGGGGAGAATCCTGCCTGCTTTCTGAAACAAGAGGTAGCTGTCTGCTCTTCTCCTTTTCGCTAGAGCAAGCTATCCACCTTGCTTAAGTGCGCTTGAGCAACAGATTTGACCCTACTGCTACACAAGCTGAGAACCTGCTACCCCTCCTTGTAGCAAACTACCTTTTTGTGACAGCCTAAGGACTTTGTTTACTCCCTGCATGCTCTCTAGCTTCAGTGAGACACTGATCTCGTTTTCTCTTCAGATTAATCAGCCGTATATTTACAGCATATCCATTTCTGCATGCACTGAAACATTTATCTAGGCTATAGGTAGGGACACATTAGCAAGAATCAATTGCTCCACGTTCAGGTTGCTCTTCAGATACAGCAGCATTTTGCTGATACAGAACACCCAGCCAGAAAGCGATTCAATGTCCTAGCTCTGCTGGTTTATTGAAATTGTGTTTTTGAGGGATATTTTTGTTTTACATTTAGTGCCTCATGTGCTGCATACCACTTACACAGGGTGTGTAGAATATGTGCTTGTTGGAACACTTCATTATCTGGCTGGAAGTAGTACAGTATATTGTTCTGTTTAGGGAACAAGTTTGAATTTACCATCGACTGGGGAGAAGTTCACAATGTATCGTTGGGTCAAGGACAGGAAGCAGCAGCAGAAATAGCTATGGAAAAAGCATCAAAAGAAGGCCACTGGGTTATACTTCAAGTAAGTCAAAGCTCTTCATTACATCAGTGCTGCATTGCAGTGTTAAAAACCGAAGCTTTTCAAAATAATATGTGCCTAGATGAAAGAGTCCTAAATAGTGATTTAAAACTTCTTTTGTCTTCTCCACAAGAGAAGCACATAACTTCATAGTGAGGGCTGTTTATGTGAGGAGCACTGCATCTCACATAAAATATGAATTGCAGCTATCTTCTGCGCAGGGACTCCGCTAACGTATTTTCCCAAGCACATGATATTTGATTTACTAATTTATTACCCATTAAAAAAAATCCTTCAGTAAATAAATGTGTAACAAAAAGAATTGTTACGCTGCATAATCAGATGAGTAGATACAAACAGGGAAGATTGCTGTCATTATGCAGTATATTGTGCTAAACAGATGCACACGATTTTTTTCAAATTTTGTGCAATATCAAACCGCTTCCTTATGGCTGGGTTTTCTTGTATCAATAAAACGTGTCGTATTTCAAATCAATAGCTCACTGGGAAGCCCATTTTTTCCTCTGTTCTCCCCCTCCTCCTTCCACATCTCTGAATATTTATTTTGCAGCAAAGCGGTTTGGCACATTACAGAAATTACTGCAGGAGCCCACTGAAAGAAGGTACTGTGTGATCGGTCCAAGTGCAGGGAGCTGCCCCTTCTCCTGAAGAACATCTCGCTCAGGAGGGCATTCTGCAGCCCTCCTGCTAAACTAGCTGAGAAGGCACTGCCTGAAGTGCTGCCTGAGCATCGTGCTGCAGTGGATCCCTGGCCGGTCACACAGCAAAGAAATAAAACTTCAAAAACATGATTATTAAAACTTCTCACCACAAAGCCAACTCAAAACAGTGAAGCCAGCAGCAGGGTGACAAAGCAGAATGCATTCAATTTCCTAAAAATTGGTTTGCATATCCTAGAGTGAAAGAAAAACAAACAAACAAACAAAAACACCAAAAAACAAAAAAACCAAACCACCAAGAAAATAGTTCTTTTAGTTCTAAAGCACCAAATACAGCCTCTGGTTAAAAGCACGTCTCTGTGCACAGGAAACAAAGAATTTATAGTTACCGCAGATAATTACTCTAGTACAGAATAAGGCTTTATTTTGGGTTAGCCTGGTTTTAATTGGATCTTTCCTGCAATGCAAGACTGTGCTGCTGTGCCCCTGAAATGCTCACACGGTCTGAGGGTGCCCTGGGAAGGACCAAGTGGGGGAACCATGGGGTCATGGCGCTCAATTTGCTGTGTGAGGGGTTGGCCCCAGATGTCTGGATCATCTCACTGAGGAAGGAATGCATTGCCTGCTGGGTTTTTACATCTTCCTCTCTCCTCTTTCACCTTTGTTTTGGAAGGCTTTTAATAAAAACCATTTTTGTTACTGAGCCTTAAAGATACACATATGCAAGATACACATATGCAGTGATGACAGGTGAGGTTACACCGACAGATGAAAGAATCAGGGGCTCTTTAGAGCATGTATCTGTGCTGCACTAACTGGAATTTAAAAAAACTCAACAATTACCAAAAAAGAAATTGTTTTTCGCTTGCCATTTCAACACCACGTTCGGAAAACCTCTGCAAAAATTAGGAAGGCTTTTCCTCTTCAATAGAATAAATTCTCTAAGCGACGCACACAGGTCAGAGCAGCCGGCCGAACGCGCTGAGCGAGAACGGTATCGGGACGCGCTGCTAAAAGCACAAAGAAACCCGCCGTCTGCGAGCAGGGGGCACGGCATCTTTGCCACCAACTTCTGCCGGCCGCTCCCTCAGCCCAGCTCCGCACCTCCGTACCGCCGCAGCAGCCGCGCCTGCCGCCCCGTCCCGTCCCCGCCCGCCGGAATGGGGCACGGCCGCCCCAGGCAGGCGGCGGAGGGGCCGGGGCCCGGGACGCGACCCGAGCGGCGGCGGCAGCGCGTTCCCGGAGCCAGAGCGCCCCCTGCCGGCGTCACGGGCCGAGGCGGGCGCCGCCCGGCTGGGCACCGAGCCGGTCCGAGCCCGGCTGGTCTGTCCCGCGGGGGAGTACTGCGGGGAGGCCCGGGAGCTCCGCGGGGACCCTGCTCGTCTCGGCCGGCGCCGCACAGTACCCGGCTGCCGCAGGGAAACCTTCAAGCAGGGCCTTTGCTCGCCCCTCCTGGCCTGGCAGCAGTGGGATCCCTGGTTATTCCCCCAGTGCTAGGACGCATCGTTGGAGCAATGCCAGCAAACGCCATTTTCTCCCAACCGGCACTTCTCGTCCAAAAGGCACCGGTGTGGCACGAGCAGGAACCAGCCCAGAGAAGCCACAGATTCGTGGAGGTGGCCGCAGCAGCTCGTGTCCGTGCCTGGAGCTGTGCCTGCAGAACACAGGGGCATTGAGCAGCCCATGCTCTTGCTCATTTGTGGCCCCAACTACACCATCTTCTTTGGGAAATTACATTTTAAATGCATTTAGCTATTCAGTAAATCAGCCCCTAAAGCACTGCAGCAGTGACCTCTGATCTCCCCTCAGAGAGCTGAGACACTGTGTGATGCTGCCAGCACGGCTGTGGCACTGACTGAGTGCCCATAAGCAATAAAACTACTTTGGAGTCACAGAATCACAGAATGGCCAAGGTTGGAAGGGACCTCAAGGATCATGAATCTCCAACCCTCCTGTCACATCAGGGCCACCAACCTCCACGTTTAATACTAGACCAAGAACAAGAAAAGCAAGGCAGAACAGCCCTCTCCTTTCCAGCCCCGCGGGGCCATTCGTGGCTACCACTGCCACATGCCTGCATTCAGAATTACACTGGATGGGGCCGGGAGGCAGGATCAGCAGCAGCCAGCACACACATCCTTGCGGCACGGCCCACGGATGCCTGGCAGCCCCATCCCCACCAGAAGACACATCTGCCATCCCACCTCCTCCTTTCCCATCTGTCCCTCCTCCCTCTCTCCCCCAGCCCTGAGCAAGGCAGGTGCAGAATGCTGCAATACCACGCTGGCACCTGGTACGCACCCTGTCCTTGGGGCAGTCAGGTGGGAAGGAAGGCCCTGCACTGCTCGGCCAGTTGCACTGGTGGGCAACCACCCGCCTTCCCTCGACCGCCGATGCCCGCAACAGCTCACCTGCCGCCAGCCCCACGTCCTGCATCCCCAGCTGCCGGAGCCCCCGCTGTGCAGAGAAGAAGCATCTGAGGAGGGAAAAGGAACAAAAGAGGGAGATCAGAAAGAAGCATAAAAGAAGGAAATGTGGTGAATAATAAAAACAAGAGGAGGAATTTTCCTGTGCTGGGGGGGGGGGGTGCTTTTTATAAAAGCTTTTTTTTTTTTTTTCCCCTCCAGTTTCTGCAAAAATTGTAACAATGCACGCACTCCTTTTTCCTTTCCCATCCCACACAAACCTGTTGTTATTTTACTTTCATCATTTCACTTTGTTCCGTCAGAAATGCTGAATCATAAAATGGGGGGGGTTGTGAAAATGGTGTTTATCTTACAGGAAGGAGCCCCGCATGATTTTAAAGATCCCTGTGCTGCTGCTGTTATTATTATCATCATCATCCTCCTCGTGCATTTGGCAGGTTGAAAGGTATCTCAGAGCAGCAAGAACGCA